CTCTGCAAGAAAAGAAGAGAGCTAATCTTGGCAAATGAGGATCAAGAGTTAAGGAGGGGGACCTCTGGAAGAAAAGAAGAGAGCTAACCCTGGCAAATGAGGATCAAGATTTAAGAAGTGGAACCTCTGGAAGAAAAGAAGAGAGCTGACCATGGCTGAAGAGAGAGCTAGCCCTGGCATCTGAGAATCAAGAGTTAAGGAGTGGGACCTCTGGAAGAAAAGAAGAGAGCTAACCTTGGCAAATGAGGATCAAGAGTTAAGGAGTGGGACCTTTGGAAGAAAAGAAGAGAGCTAACCTTGGCAAATGAGGATCAAGGGTTAAGGAGTGGGACCTCTGGAAAAAAAGAAGAGAGCTGGCCGTGGCTGTAAGAGAGCTAGCCCTGGAAGTTGAAAGTCAAGCTGTGGAGAGGAGTATCTGAGGCCTGGGGGCTAATCTGAAAAGCTCTGTAGAGATGTTGAACCTTGGGGGAAGGGGTAGAGCTTGGCGAGGGCTGTTGAGGCCCTGCAGTGCTGGAATTAGGAGTGGCCTTGGCCACGTGTCTTCGCTACGTATGTGTCTTTCTAACACTGTGCTCTAAGCTTGAACCCTCTTTCCCCTGGACAACATGTGTCCTCCTGGGGCTTAGCTGGATTCCTGACCTGTCTGCAGGAAGCAGGCCCCCTCCCCGCAGGAGGCTGGAGGAACACTGAGCCAGCAGAGGGAAGTGCCATACAGCAGAGAGAGCCTCGGTTCCGGAGTAAGAGGCACCTCAGTTCAAACCCCACCCCTACTGATCACTGCTCTTGACCTTAGCTTTCTCTTCTGTAAAAGGAGGGGGCTGGATTTGGTCACCTCCGGGGTTTCTTTCGGATCTCAGTACATGAGCCCATGATCCTGATTCACTTAACCTTCCTGGGCCTTAGTTTCCTCATTTGTGAAAGGGTCTCAGTGACCTCTGAGGCCCCTTCCAGGTCTTGATCTACGGTCCCCTGAGGTCATCAGAGGATAAGTGGAGACAGCCCATCCTCAGCTTGGACTGGGTGTGTGCTGGGCTAGGCCAGAACTGGGAGAGCCACCGATGACACGATCACGAAGGTCAACAGAAGCTGAGGCAGAGCACTGGGGCCCAGCCTGAGGGGCATCTGGGGATGGCCACCCAGCCAAGGACAGAGAGAGAGCTGGGCCGCAGGCCTGCATGAGCCTCAGCTTTCCCATCTGTAAAATGGCTAGAATGATAGCCGTGCTCCCCCAGGCTGGCTGCTCACCAGCCCCGGGTGGGCTGGAGGGCCCACCTGTGAGGAAGCAGTTTTCCTTCAGCATTCCGGCGATCGCCGTGGCCCCTTCCTCGTTCAGCCCGTTGTCACTCAGATTCAGTTTCAGAATGGAGGTGTTGGACATCAAGGCTGAGGCCAGGGCTCGGGCCCCCTGTAACACAACACAGGCCTGCCAGTGGGGGCAGCAGAGGGGGCAGAAAGGTAGAGGGTCAGAGACCTAGGTTCAAGTTCTGATGCGGGCACTTGCTGGCTATGTGACCTCGGACAGGTCGCTTCTCAAACCCTTGCTTGGACAGACCCAGAGAGGAGCTGCTTCTTAGAAGGGTCACCCAGCCCTACCTCCGCATTTTGCAGACAGGGAAACTGAGGCCCAGAGAGGGGAATGGGAGAATCATCTTGTCCTCATTTCTCAGAGGAGGAGGCTGAGTCCCAGAGACAGGGAGCGATTTGCCTAAGGTCACACAGCTAGCTAGGGACCGGAACCCAGGGCATGCCCATTTCATCACCTGGGCCCAGGTCAGACAGTGAGTTAATAAGAGAACCAAGCCTGGAGTTGGTGCCTCCTCACACCAAGGCCAGGGCTCCGTCCACTGTGCCAGAGTTTCCCTGTGATGCTCAGAAGAGGGGGAAAACTGAGGCTGGTCACAAAGCTGACAGCCAGAGCCGGGCATTGTGCTATGTGCTGGGAGCACAGAGCCAGAAGCAGGAGTCCTGCCCTTACACCCTTACACTCTGCAGGACCCGGAGGGCAATGAATGTGTCTCTACCTGAGGCCCAAGGCCGCGGTGCATCAGCGTGAGCTCAGGATCGTGCATGTGGTGAAGGAAATAGGAGATGGGCACCGCTCCGTAGGTCTCACAGGCTGCCAGGTACTGGGCCCTGCCAGTGAGGTCATACGGCCCACGGGGCACTGTGGGAGAGAGAGACGTGAGGCAATCAGAGTGAATGAAACAGCCTTCCTTATCAGTGGTTTGATGTTTGAGGACCTCCTTTAAAAAAACGGAGAATTCTCTCTCTGACCTAGCCTCCATTCAAGTCCAGGAGCATTTATTAAGCACCCACTGTGTGCAAGGCCTTGGGCCTGGCTCTGGGTCTATAAAGAAGCAAGTCCCACCAGAGTCCCTGCCCTTGGGGACCACACATTCTAGGAAGTCATGGAAGGTTGTGGAGCAGGGGAGTGACTGGGGGCAGGACTGGGCCTTGGGAAGAAGGAGGAGGGTATTGGAAGAGTCCAGGCAAAAGTGACAAGTCTGAGAGATTAAGAAAACCATTATTGTATAGGGCCACCCTTTAGCACCCTGACACTCTGGCCCAACGACCACTTTTCACAGCTGATGATGGTGGGTCTGGCTGCTCCACACTTTCCCACCTCTGAGCCTTTGCCTCACTATGCTCTGCATGCCCTTTCCTTCCCTCTGCGTTTTGAAGTCCTCCCCAGGCTTTAAAGCCCTGTTCCACTGCCTCCTCCTCCAGGAAGGCCTCCTTGATCCTCTCTTGCTACAATCTCCTGGTCAGAAATAAGCTTTCCTTCTTCTCACTTGACTTTGTCCCGGCTCTGAGGACCACAGGGTCATGGATTCAGAGCTGGACATCAGCTAGTTCCACACTGTCCTATTACAGAGGAGGAAACGCTCCCAGTAGGGGCAGGGACTTAGCCTAAGGTGACACAGCAAATGACAGAGCTGGGATTCTAGCCCAGGCCCCCAACTTCAAATCCAGCCCCTTTCCCACTGATCCAACTTCAGCACTTTGGTTTAAAAACCCTTGGATGACACCTATCAGATTGGCTAATGTGACAGAAAAAGAAAGCGAGAAATGTTAGAGGGGAAATGGGAACGAGAATGCATTGTTGGTGGAGTTGTGAACTGATCCAACCATTCTGGAGAGCAATTTGGAACTAGGCCCAATGGGCTACAAAACCATGCAGACCCTTTGACCCAGCAATAGCACTACTAGGTCTGTATCCCAAAGAAATCATACAAACGGGAAAAGGACCCACATGCACAAAAATATTTATAGCAGCTCTTTTTGTGTTGATAAAGAATTAGAATTTAGCAGCTGGAATGGGAGTGGTGAAACAGCTGGGGTGAGTGGAGGCGCCACTAAAGCCAGCTCAGAGCCTAGTAGCAATCTGTCCTCATCCTCACTCAAGAGCCCGACTTCCCAGGAGTCACAGCTCAGTGCAATGAAGCGCTTACAGATGGTCAAGAAAGAAGCTCCTCAAAAGAAAGGGAAGAAATAGCTTAGCCACATTTGCTTTTATCTTACCCTGCATCAATGACAACTTCTGTGCTGAAGATAAAAAAAAAAAAATTATGTTTTGTTAAATAAAAAGTTACACGACCAAGCTAAAAAAAAAAAAAATAGAAATGACAAGCAGTATACTTTCAGAAAAACCTGGGAAAGATTTACATGAACTGATGCAGAGGGAGATGAGCAGAACCAGAACACTGTATGCAGTAACAGCAACATTGTTCGATGATCAACTGTGAATGACGTAGCCATTCTCAGCAATACAAAGATCCAACACAATTCTGAAGGACTTAAAATGAAAAAATGCTTTCCACCCCCAGAGAAAGAACTGATGGAGTCTGACTGCAGATCAAGAAATATTATTTTTTTTACTTTATTTATTTAGGTCTCTTTTCTTTCATAACATGACCAATATAGAAATATGTTTTGCATGACTGCACATGTATAACCTGCATCAAATTGTTTGCCTTCTCAATGAGGGGGGAGGGGAGGGAGGGATGGAGAGAGAGAATTTGGAAATCAAAATTTTAAAAAATGTTAAAAATTGATTTTATACGTAATTGGGGAAAATTAAAATATTAAATATATTTAAAATCTTGAGAAAACAAATATTCTGGGAGATAACCATGGCTAGGATTATTCCTCTCCTTTTACAGAGAGGTTGCAGGGCTTGCCTGAGGTGGGATTTGAACTCCGATTTCTCCTGACTCCAAGTGCACAGGCCATGGTGCCTACTGGAGAGTGTGTGATGTCATAACCCTTTGATCCCTGCATGGTTGTATCTGGAGAATGTCCAGAGAAGCCAGCCAGGATGGGGAGAGAAACATCATAACTCTCTTCAAGTATCTTCCTCTCCAGGCTTCACTCCTGACCCTGGCCAAGCCACAGGTGCATCCACACCCAGGAGGGTCACTCCACCCGAAGTCTCTTCTCTCACTGGCTGGTTCTTTCCAGACCCTGGTCAGCCATGTCTCCATTCCTCCTCAGGCTGGACTCCTACCTCTCTGGATGTTCTCTATCTACCTCATCTCTATGGGGATACCAAAATACAAGAAAATAGATCCTGCCCTCAAGAAGCTTACCACAGTCTGATGGGGAAGACAGCGTGTAAAAAGCTGGGTACACATAAAGCACCTACAGATGGAAGGTAAACCTTGAGGGGTGGGCTGGGGTGAACTGGGAAGGGCCTCTTTCAGAAAGTGGGATTTGATCTGAGTCTTGTAGGAAGCCGGGAGGGAGAGTGTTTCAGGCATGGGGCACAATGAGTTCAACGGTGTAGAGTCAGGAGATAGAGTATCTTGTTTAAGGAGCACCAAGGAGGCCAAAGCTACGGGATCAAAGAGTATGTGGAGGGGAGTAAGAAGACTGAAAAGGTAGGAGGGGGCCAGGTCATGGAGACCTTTAAAAGCCAAATAATTTGCTCCTGGAGGCAATAGGAGCCACTGGAATTTACTGAGTAGGAGGTGACATGGTTAGATTTGAGCGCTAGAAAAATCACTGGTGGCTAAATGAAGGATGGACTAGAGTGAGGAGAGACTGGAAACAGGCAGATCCCCCAAAAGCCACTTCCTCAAGGGCAAAGTGATAGGGTCTGCACCAGGGTACTGGTAGTGTCAGAGGAGTGAAGGGGGTATATGGAAGAGATACTGCAAAGGTGATATCAATGAGTGATGTTGCAAAGGTGAAATGGACAAGAGATGCTGTAGAGGTGAAATTGACAGATGTTATGAAGGTGAAATGAACAAGAGGTGCTGCAGAGGTGAAATTGACAGATGTTATGAAGGTGAAATGAACAA